AGGGGTTCTTTAATGAATAATTTTATAGCGTCTGCAAATGGTTGAAGAATTCTGTAGGGTCCTACAATGTTTAGGCCTTTTTGTAGTTGTATATAACCTAGGATTTTTCGTTCGACTAGGGTAAGAAATGCTATGGCAATTAGTACTGGAACTAAGAATATTAGGATATTGACAAAATACACTATTAGAGAGAGGATTTGAACGTCTGGGGACAAGGTTTTAAATCTTATGCAATTTCCTGGCTCTGCCACCCTAATAAAACCCTTGTCTAGGGTGTTGTTAAACAAACTTACTAAATTGGGATAATTTCATATATTAGTTTGAAGGCACTTATATTAAGGAGGCCTCATTTCTCTTGTCCTTTAGTACTGGGAGAAATAGTTAATAGATAGAAACCGACCTGGATTACTCTGGTCTGAACTCAGGTCATGTAGGACTTTAATCGTTGAACAAACGAACCATTAATAGCTGCTGCACCATTGGGATCCAACATCGAGATCGTAAACCCTAATTGTCGATATGGACTCTTGAATAGGATTGCGCTGTTATCCCTAGGGTAACTTGGTCCGTTGATCAAATAAATTGGGTCAATTGGATTTTTAGTACTTTGACTTGTAGGTCTTAGTTAAAATCATTTGGAGGTTGTTTTATTCTCCGAGGTCACCCCAACCGAAATTACTGGCTTACTTCTTTTTCTTTGGCCCATTAGGGTTGTTAACTGGGTAGTTAAGCTAGGAAATTAAAGCTCCATAGGGTCTTCTCGTCTTATTGTGGTATCCCTGCCTCTTCACTGGGGGATCAATTTCACTGATTAGAGGTAAGAGACAGTTGAATCCTCGTGAGGATTACTACACAGTGGTAAAAAAAAAAAAATGACATCTGGAAATTTGCATGCAAATGGATTGAACTAGAAAAAATCCCTGAGTGAGGTAACACAGACTTTATTCAAGGTAATCATAGTATGTACTACCTCATAAGTGGATATAAGATGTAAGATAACCAACCTATAGTCCATGGCCCAGAGAGGTTACGTAACAAGGTAAACTTTAAGAGAAACATACATAGATCACCCTGGGAAGGAGAAATAGACAAGGTCTCTTGAGAAAATTGGGAATGTGGGAGTGAAGGAGAAGGGAGGGCACAAGGGGTGGGGGAGGAAGAAAGAAGGGGAGCAAGAAGGAGAATATGAAGAAACAAAATGGTTGAGATGGGGAAAGGACAGGGAGGGAGAGCAAGGAAAGAGATATCTTGATTGATGGAGCCATTACAGGACAGGCAAGAAAGCTGGCACTAGGGAAATTCCCAGGAATCCAAAAGACAGCTAAGATCCTAAGCAATATTGGGGAATGCCTGAACTAGCCTTGCCCTGTAGTCAGATTGATAATTATCTTAAATGTCACCATAAAACCTTAATCCAGCAACTGATGGAAGCAGAGTCAGAGAGCCACAACTGAGCACTGGGCTGAGCTCCCGAAGTCCAGTCAAATAGTGGAAAGAGTGAGAATGTGAGCAAAGAGGTCCAGACCATGGTGGGGATACCCACTGAAAGTTTACCTGAGCTATAGGAGCTCACCAACTCTGGCAGGACAGGGAAGGAACCAGCATAGAACCAACTAGGACCTTAGAATGTGGGTGACAGTTGTATGGCTTTGTCAGACTTGGTGGGGGGGGGGGACTGACACTGTCAGCAGGATTTATCCCTACTGTTTGTACTGGCTTTTTAGAACCTGTTCTCTTTGGAGGAATACCTTGCTCAGTCTCGATATAGTAGGGAGGACCTTGGTCTTTCCTCAAATTAATGTGCCTTACTCTCTCTGAGGAGTGCATGGGGTGGGGTGTGGGAAAGAGAAGGGTATGGTAGGAAGGGAGGGAGTGGGAACTGGTTTTGGTATGTAAAATGAAAAAAGATAGTTTTTAATTAAAAAGTACAAAATGTTTTCTTGATTATTTTCTTGATTGGCATGTACTGTCCAACTTTATCTCCTTTCATTTATTCTAGTTTGAAATATTTTTTCTCAGATATGAGGATAGCAATGCTGATTTCTTCCAGGTCCTATTTGCTTGGAATATTTTTTCATCCTTTCACTTTGAGAAGATGTTTTCCTTTAGATCTGAGTTTCTTTTAGGCAACAGAATGATATATTTTCTTTCTTAATCCATTCAACTAATCTATGTTTTTTGAGTAAGAATTCAAGGCCACTAATATTTAAAGCTATTATTGAAAATTGTGTGCTGATTTCAGGCATTTTGTTGTAGTTTGTGTGCCTAGACTGTTTGTATTTCTATAGTTTTAGCTTTGTTTTCTTTCCACAGTCTCTTGCCAATATTTATTTCTCCCTTATACCAAATTTTTGCTTCCAGCATTCTCTACAGGGCTGGCTTGTTGCACATAAATTCATTTAATCTTTTGTATCATAGAAGTGTCTCCTATTGACATCAACTATGGTAGGTAGATTTGCTGGGTATAGGAATCTAGGTTGGCATTGTGTTTTACAATTTGAAGTACACTGCTTCAGGCTCTTCTGTTTTATTTGAGAAATCAGTTGGTTTTCTGATGAGCTTTTTCTTTACTTGTGGCTTGTGTTTTTTCCTTCTATAGTTTTCAATACTCTTTTTATGTGATGTATATTTAGTGTTATGCATATAGTAGAACTCGGGGAGTTTCTTATTTATTTTCATCTTGTCTATTTGGTATTCTGCGTATGGGCATGTCTTTCTTTAATTAGGGGAAGTTTTCTTCCATATTTTTTTTTGATCTGGTCTATGCCATTGACCTGGACTACTCCCTTAGCAATGCTTATAATTTAAGTATTTTATATTTTCATAACGTCTAAAAATTCTTGCATACTTCTTTCTAGTATTTGAATTTTTCATATTTACTTGTGTGGCCTAATTCCTCTACTTTGTAACATGATATTCTATCCTCTACTTGTAAGGTGTTTCCTGGAGTTCTGTTACTGGGATATTGAGTTTTCAATTCCATCTTCAGTTCAGACTTAGCTCTCTTCACTGTTTGGTTTTCAAGTCCTGGATTGCTTTTTTATTTCATTCAGCCTTACATCTGTGCTTTCCTGGATATCAGTCGAGCATTATTCTCTTTAATTCTCTTTATTTGTGTCTTTTAAAAATTTATTTATTAATTTGATTTAGTGTATGATAGTACTTTGAAAGATCTCTGTCCTGGAGTTTTAACTACATAATTCTCACTGGAGACCATTTCTAGAGGACAGGTGGGTTTGGGGGCAGAGACATCCTGTTTTGACCTTTCATATTGTTTGTGTTTTTGTGAAGAGATTGAGTTATGTGTACTTTTTGTTGTTTGTGTGTCTGATGTGGACACAGCAAGCTGGGGCAGGATCAGGGCTCCTCAGACTGTCCTGGGGTGTGGGGTATGGTATTCTGGTTCCACTTTGAACATTGTGGTGAGGGCAGGATTATGACTGTGAACTCAACAAGCTGGGCTAGACTTCAGGCCAGGGTCAGCATGGAAGCAGGGTATGACATGGGGCATGACATGATAAGATCTGTAGGACAACAATAGAAATACATATTTCATTTCTAACAGATATTAAACCATCTTTCTAATATTATGGGCAGGGTATTAATGGTAGTTAGGAAGGCATAACTTTTATTTAAGGTAAGAATTAATTAAGTCCCTGGTATTTGGTCAGTTGATGAATTTTAGCTAGAGCTAAATTTAATTTAGAATCTGCACTCTGTGATACAAAATCCAATTAAACTGCCTGTGTATTGTTTTTATATTTACATAATTAATTTTAGTTAATTTTAGATTTCCAAGGACCCATTCCTAGTATTTGGTTATTTTATCTCTATGTGTATGGTTCTATTTATCTTTATATTCACCACTTAGGAAGACAGATAAAGAGAGAAAGGAGACCACCACAGAAAGTTTGAATATAATTTAATATGAATTAATAATAACTTATACATGTAAACACAATAATTTATTTAGATTTTTATGTATATATGGTCATATATGTATGTATGATCATATTTTGAAATAGTTCTTCTGTTATTTTTATTTTGAACCTTCATGGTTCTTATAGAGCATATTGAGAAATAATTTTTGTACCTGCCTTGTACAAGCTTGAACTTACCTTTTCTGCTGCTGGCAATGGTGCAGACACACTTGTCCCTGTCTGTTGTCTTTTCAGTTTGTGAAAACAGTATAATATGTTGTTAGGTTTCTGGTTTCTGTCCATTCCCTTCTCATTTTAAGGATATCATGAAGATGCAAGTTCACAGTTAGTGTTTTTGTATGATGCATTAGCTGTCACTCACATCATCACTTTACATCCTGTAAGGGCTGAGGGCCTTGTTTCATCTTAAAACACAGGACTGACAAAGTTCAAGTGTGTTTTGCTATATTTGAGTATGATCAGTGCTGGTTGCCTTGTGGGTGAACTTGTTTTCCCAGCATGTTGGAAATCATACGTCTGGTTTAATTCATGTGCTCAGAGCACTTTTCTATGCATGCTTAATTTGTACAACAGTACCTTGTCCTCTATGGAGGCTCCCAAGGCACAGAATAGGTGCAGAGGCTCCCACGAACTTCCCAAAGCGGTGGAGATCACTGGGTGCCTGACACAGCGTCATCCTTTTGCTGAACACAGACTCTTTAGCTGTAGTTTGCTCCTGTGGATGAGACTGGGATTATGCAGAGTACTCAGGCAGATGTGGCTGGGAAGATGAGTTCCTACAGGGAAGAGGTGACAGCCCAGCTGGTCCTTCTATGTTGTTTTTTTACAAACTAGGTAAGTTGAGTTTTCCCATTGGTAGTGCCCCCTCTACATTCCCAGGCCAGGGCTGTCCTGGTGAAGAGCAGGACTTGACTAGCAGTGCAGTGGGAAAGGAGTGGATGGTGCATTCTCTATATGACCCTATCTGGGGCCTCCCTTCACTTCATTCACAGAAAATTTTCAGGCTGCCTAGTGCTTATATCTCTACTTCATTTGCAGTAAGTGCTTAAGGCTGAAGACCTGGGGGAGAGGCTGGAAGCAGTAGGATGGTTTCCACTGAGCTATATCTCTCCAGGACGTTGTCTGTGTGCTCACTGAATCCTAAGTAAGTAGCGTAAAAGAAAAGAACAATTTCACAATAGGTTATAACACATATATTTGTAGTTTTGATAATCTTAATTGAGGGAGCCATTTTGAGTTTGGCAAGAAGCTTGGCTCTGGAGGGGTTCCCAGGAGTCCACAGGGATGACTCCAGCTAGGACCCTGGGCAGTGGAGGTGAGGGTGCCTAAACTGGCCTTGTCCCATAGTCAGACTGACGACTGTCTTGAATATCACCATAGATCCTTCATTCGCCAATGGATGGAGATAGAGACAGAGACCTACATCGGAGCACTGGACTGAACTCCCAAGGTCCAGTTGGAGATTGGAAGGAGGGAGAATATGAGAAAGGAAGTCAGGACCAAGAGGGGCTGCACCACCCACTGAGACAGTGTGCCCCAGCTAATGGGAGCTCACCAACTCCAGCTAAACTGGGACTGAACGAGCATGGAATCAAACTGGACCCTCTGAATGTGGCTGACAATTGGGACAGACTGAGAAGCCAATGATAATGGCACTAGGATTTGTCTCTACTGTATGTACTGGCTTTTTGGGATCCTATTCTATATGGATGCATACCTTCCTAACCCTGATGTAGGGGGGAGGGCCTTGGACATCCCACAGGGCAGAGTACCTTGCCCTCTCTTAGAACTGGGGTTGGGGGTGGGGAGAAATGTGGGGGGGGATCGGGGGGGAAGGGGAAGGAGGAGAGGAGGTGGAAACTCTGATTGGTATTATTTATAACATAATAAAAAAAAGTTAAAAAAGAAAAGAAACAACTTTTTAAAAAGATGGGAAAATGGGTGAAGAATGAGGGCCAGTTCTGGGTGTAGAACAAGATGGAGAGATGAAATGTGTATTTTGTATTCTTCCTAGATAGGGGAGAAAGCAGGAGATATATAGCTTCTTTTGAAAGAATAACAATTCATTGGGAATAAAAGTCAAGTAACAAGCAAGATTACATAGAGATTTGTGAAAGAGGCAGGAAGACAAGGCAATAAAAGGAAAGGAAAGGGGATAAAGGAAAGAGATGAAAGGAAGAATAAGGAAAAGAAAAGGAGATAGAGAAAACATAGGCTGTGTGCGGATGAAAAACCTGGAAAAGAGTAGGAGGGGGCATTTGAGAAGGAAGAAAGAGGTATGTTGAAGAGAGAAACAGCTTCAACAGAATTTGAGGGATCATAGGTTTGATGTTGTGAGTCTTTATCTGAACAGCCACTAAGCTCTCAGATCTTGACAAAGAGACTTCTTATTAATTATGAAAGCTAGGCAAATAGCTTAGATTTGTTCTACCTAGTTATTATAACTTAAATTAACCATATTTTTTAATCTACATTTCTTTACATGGCTTAATTACCTTTACTTTGTGAAGCCCATGCTGCTTGCTTTGCATCCATGGTGTCTCCTCTCATCTCTGCTCTTCTTCTCCCTAGCATTCTCACTGTCCTGAAAGCTCTAACTAGTTATTGACCATTCATCTTTTTATCAAACAAATCAGTGACACATATTAAAAGTACATAAAAGACTATTTTACAGCATTTCCCCCTTTTCATCTAAATAAAAAGGATAAAAATTAACTCTAACATAGTAAAGCTATATACAATAAGAACAGTTATCAGGTATTATCTAAATAGAAAAGCAAGGTATTAACTTTTAAAAAATAAAACTCTATACAGGAAGAACAATTATCCTATAAGAATTATATTTAAAATGTCTGGTCCTTTGGTATTTGGCAAATTTAGAGAAAATACTCCTTATCTATCCTCTCTTGATGAGTCTAAAGTTTTGTACTAATTTATCTTCTATTATAACTAAGGAAAACTGAACTACTCTTCAATTCCATCAAAGACCCCAGCAGGATTTACTAGAATCTTAGTAAACAGGAAGTGCAGTGCAACCTGCTTTCAGACCTATAGAATTCGAGACTTCTGGCTGTCTGGACAGTCACTCAAGATCCTCTTCAATGTTGAGGCATCTATCTTTATCCTACAGCCTCAGAATATCTGACAGACTTTTCTATGAAGCAGGAACTTTTAAGGACTGTACTCCTTTATATTGGCAAAGTTTGGCAGTCTTTTCCCTTTGTGACCTGCTTATGCAGTATTTACAGCATACTGTCAAGAGTCAAGGCAAGAACAGTTTCTTAGCCCAGTGGCTAACCTTGCCACAATGAAATGAAACTCTAGAAGGGATTTCTTCAATGCCCATCATATTTTCTTAAGTAAGTTGTTGCTGCTAGGAGCAGACATGTCCCACTATCCTGAAAAGCCTCAAGTTATTCAATCTTAAACATGATATTCTGTAAATCTTTGAAGTATTTGAAAACCATCTATCTAAATGTATAGGCTTAACCTTGAAAATATACCCAATATGTCTACAAGTTTGATTATTATAGATGACTACTAATCTGTATTTCTTAGTTATACATTACATTTAATAAGCTGTATAAGAACAATACCCCAAACAATAATGGAAACTTAATTCAGTATAACAAAAATAGCCTTAAATGTATATCAATATACAGAAATTTATACCAACGTAAAATATTTGAGGCAGTGGTTGTTTAAAAGTAAACTCAGTAATTCACCCTTTTATCCCATCATTTTTATATTATACTTCCCCTTTTCCCTTCAGAAAGAGATCCTTGAATCTAATCTCCTTCATTTAACTTTCTCTGTGACTTTAACCAGTAACAATTTGTAACCCTCTAAGTGATGACAAACATCCATAGCCCAACAAATGACCAAAAACACCCACTCCACCTCTTAGGAATGTAGGCATTGTGTTCTCTAAACTGCTTTTTGTTGCCTGTAGGTAATGGCATGTTTGGAGAATGAGAAAATAGATTAATGGTCAAATCCTGGTTAGAATAGTCTGTGAGGCTGGACCATCTCAGCCATCAGCCTTGAGGCTGTTCTGGATGCAGAATTCTGAGCAAATTGCAACAGAGGCACTCTGAGAGGTTGGATCACCTGGATCATCCATTTTCTTTTTCTTTTTTTTTTTTATTGAGAAAAGAAAAAAAAAGTATCCTCCTCCTCCCAGCTTCCCATTTCCCTCCCCCTCCTCCCACACTTCTCCCCCTCCCCCAAACTCCCCTCCCCCTCCCTCTCCAGTCCATAGAGCAGTCAGGGTTCCCTGCCCTGTGGAAAGTCCAAGGTCCGCCCCCCCCCTCCGTCCATGTCTAGGAAGGTGAACAACCAAACTGCCTAGGCTCCCACAAAGCCAGAACATGAAGTAGGGTCAAAACCCCGTGCCATTGTCCTTGGCTTCTCAGCAGCCCTCATTGTTCACCATGTTCAGAGAGTCCGGTTTTATCCCATGCTTTTTCAGTCATAGTCCAGCTGGCCTTGGTGAGCTCCCAATAGATCAGCCCCACTGTCTCAGTGGGTGGGTGCACCCCGCGTGGTCCTGACTTCCTTGATCATCTTCACCCTCCTTCCACTCCCCATTGGGACCTTGGGAGCTCAGTCCAGTGCTCCAGTGTGGATCTCTGTCTCTATCTCCATCCATCACCAGATGAAGGTTCTATGGTGATATGCAAGATATTCATCAGTATTGCTATAAAATAGGGTCATTTCAGGTTCCTTATCCTCATCTGCCCAAGGAACTAACTGGGGACATCGCCTTGGGCTCCTGGGAGCCACTCTAGGTTCAAGTCTCTTGCCAGCCCTAGGGTGGCTCCCTTAACTAAGAATTGTGCTTCCATGCTCCCCTATCCAGCCTTCCTTTATCCCAATCATCCTGTTTCCCCAAGTTCCCCCCATCCTCCCCTTCTCACTTTTCTCTCCTCATCTCCCCTTACCCCCAACCCACCCCACCCCCAAGATCCCACTTCTCTCCCCAGCAATTTTGCCTACTTCTCATAGGCAAGAGGATAACTATATGTTTTTCCTTGGGTTCACCTTCTTATTTAGCTTCTTAAGGTTCACTACTTGTAGACTCCATGACCCTTATTTATGGCTAGAAACCAATTACGAGTGAGTACATCCCATGTTAATCTTTTTGGGTCTGGGTTACCTCACTCAGGATAGTGTTTTCTATTTCCATCCATTTGCATGCAAAATTTGAGAAGTCATTGTTTTTTACCACAGCGTAGTACTCTAATTGTGTATATTCCACACTTTCTTCATCTATTCTTCCATTGAAGGACATCTAGGTTGTTTCCAGGTTCTGGCTATTACAAATAATACTGCTATGAACATAGTTGCACAAATGCTTTTGTCATAAGATCAGGCTTCTCTTGGGTATATTCCCAAGAATGGTATTGCTGGGTCCAGGGGTAGGTTGATCCCGAATTTCCTTAGAAACCGAAACACTGATTTCTACAGTGGTTGCACAAGATTGCATTCCCACCAGCAATTGATGAGGGTACCCCTTCCTCCACAGCCTCTCCAGCAAAGGCTATCATTGGTGTTCATAAACCCATTTTATAACCTAAATAACTAAAAGAATCTCCTCTTTGTATTTTTTGTTTCAGGAAAACCTATAATCCAAACAAGGAAAAATATTTTTACTTTTACCAACATTCTAAAGTATTTACATTTGAATCAGGTAATAAAATGCATCTACGTAATGGTAAAGTATAAATTGAGGAAATTGTTGTGTATCATTTCAAATGGTTGAAGTACAAATTATAGGTACAGGGTAAGGCTATTTAACATTCCCTGTGGGAGAATCTTCCATTAATATTACCTAAAATGCTGAGAATTATTATTATAAGTAGACACCATTAAGCAAATTTTTCTCTGTCTTCTACTTGTAAAGGTATAGTGAAGATTCAGCCTTTTAAATCAATAATTATAAGAGGTCATCCTTTAGGCAATAAAGAAGGCAAAGGAATTCTAGACCGTAGAGAGCCCATTGACTGAATTACCTTATTAACAGTTCTTAGATCTGTTACCATTCTCCATTTTCCACATTTCTTTTTAAC